ACAGCAAACTCCAGGGCATTGTGTGGCCGTTTGCCTGTGTTGCCGTGCACTAGTGGCACAAGCCCATTCTTCTCCAGGTGGCTTCTGTACCGTTTCAGCCTCTTGCCAGACAGTGCGTACACGTCACGGAACGCACCCACACAAACAGTCAGTCCTTGGAATTTGTAGGTAAAACGCTCCCTCTTGCGCTTCTCTCCACTCTCAAAAACTGTTTCAGGATGCCTCAAAGCTTCAAGAAGGCCCAGGACCACCAGCTCACTCTCGTGCGACTCCATTTCTCTCATGTTCAGGATCGACGTCTCGATGTCAGCTGGGTCAAATTGCTGCAAGCAATTTTTTGAACATCCGCAGTTCTCTTTTTGACGAACAGTGTCATCCTCCTCTGCCGGCGCAACGGTCGCTGCACAAGCTGCTGCGGAGCTAGCCTGCGGAGGTTTGGGCTCTGCCTTTCCGACATACAGCTCTGCTGCTGCGTCGACATTCACTCGCTGCTCAAGAAAGTGTTCACCATCGTCTTTGTCATCGCCATCATCGTCGCCGTAGTCAGATTGAACAGAAACGTCAGTGGCGTCCGACTCCTCTTCCTCACCAAAAACTTCAGCCTCATCCTCTTCCAGGAGAGATTTCAGCGCTTCGTTCACGGTGAAACATTTACGATGGCTCATAGTGAACAGCTACGCCGACCCAAGGACTTAGCAGAAAGCGAAGACGGCAAGGCTACTGCGCTGAAACTGTGAAAGCAACTTTTTGTCTTTCCGTTCGCGCGTGCGATTTTATTCAGCGGAGGTGTCGACGTGTCACGGTCGATCGATTTTGATCGCCGATCGGTACCCGGTGACCGGTGGTACGTTGGTTGATTTAGCCAGGGTTTTCTTCTACAGGAGCTGTAGTGTAGGATACTGGCTCTCCGAAAGAATGACTGAGCTCCAAAGAAGTCGCGTATCGCCAAAAAACGAACAGTTTCAAGTTCGATCCGAAGGTGACAGCTGAGAATCAGCTGATTCACTTCAAGTGCGGTTTTCTCATAATCAAGATAGTCCATCGGCCAAATCTCAGAAAGGGCCTCTTTCGGCGAAGGTGATGCACTGAAGCTCCAACTAAACGCCCTTTGGCACACTAGCTCATGAGACCCCATAGAATACGAATCCGATTGTTGGACGTTGCCAATCCAGTCCAGGATAGTCGAACTGGGTCGAATACCTTCTTCCGATTTTCGTAATTTCGTCCACCATTACATCTTTCTCATCGACTTTTTTCCGCTTGGCCAATGTTCTTGAGCCGCTGAGCAGAATCTACGCACACTCGAACACTTGAAATGCCTGCATGTTGACGGTTCGCAAGATTCTAGCGAGCTTGGTGGAAATCTATTATTTATTTTGACATTTTTGGGGGAATCTGAATTAGAACGGTAGAAGCTCATTCGGAGAAGACGGCGTGTCGCCGCTGTCGGATTGTCGCTAATGTGTTTCAGACGTATTTGCTTGAACGTGCTATTGAGGATGGACAGAAGATGAAGTGACGGCTTTCTTGAACACGGACGTTGTGTCTACATTGTAGCTGAAACATCTCATCTGGCGTCTAGAACGCAATTATTATGAGTTGTGAGTGCCAGCTGAGCTGAACACAAGCTGGACACCATTCGTCAGCTGGGAATTTGCATCGAAGCTCTTGATAGCCACGATAAGCATAATTATACTGAGGTAACCTTGTTTGACTCAATACGCATGCAGGTGATACCACTAGTGGCACTACAATGTAACTGGTGCAAAATTGATGCAACAGCGAATATGTACTTCGTACAATCACGAACAATTGTAAGGCAAGTGTTCATGCCTGTCATAGAAGAATTTCAGCCCGGAAGTCTTGTTGTCATGGTCATAAATAATACAGGACTTGAGTTGGCTCTGGACATAAACACACTAACGTGTGTATGTGACTTGTGGTGAATACGGTCATTATTGCGAGAAAAATATTTAGCCACTATGTTAACTGATGCCGCACTACACGCAATATTTCATGTACATGTATGTGAGACTCAATTGCATCCACAAGGCCGTAGATGCATGTAAGCACTCAATGCTGTACAGTATAAGTAGTAGTCAACATGTGGTGCCTTCCTGCTGCACATGCACATGCGGCAAGTTGGCAACGACACATGACCTATCTGCACCGCACAGCGTGAGCTTAGAAAGGAATATTGCACACATAGTGCTATTTGTGTTCCGATATCGTAAAGCCGGTATACATGTACCTGGTCACTCGATAGGCGATGCCGACTGTACTAATCTTATCCATATTACCCGATAGGCTATAGCACACTGCGTCATATCACTATGCTGCATATGCAACAAAACAAGAGCTTTGGAGCGAATATACACTGAAGCAAAGTAGGTTTCAACGGTACAGCACTAGTCACGATGAGGGGAGTTACGAAGATGGTTAGGCCGTGACACATAGATGATGATTGTTAATGATTCATGCACGGTGGAAAATTACCACCAATGGCGATGATATTGCTTTCACAACAATGACATCAGTAGGAGCAGTGACACAACCTTACTGCTCCAAGTAGGATTTACAAGCGAGTGAAGGGAGAGCAGACTGGTCTAATAGCAGACCAGGTCTAAGCAAAAAAGTAATCGGCATCAGAGGTGAGCTTGCACATCAGAAAACAGACGATGATCACCAAACACAGAGAAGTTGGCTATGTGTATGTTTGTGTCACTGTGTGTGCATGTGTGTGTGTGTGTGCATGTGTGTTTGTGTGTATGCGCGCACATCTGTGTGTGAGAGAGAGGCAGACAGACAGATAGCATAATGGTGGGAGGGATCAAGGTCTGACCTCAGAGTTAAATGCTGACGGTGTGGAATAGCAACAGTGCGAAATCGGGCAGGGTGGCTAATGGCCCACACTGGAGCCGAGTAGGAGCGCCAGAGGTTGAGGGCTAGCACAGGAGTAGCAGCAGCTCCAGCCTAGGAAGATCAGCTTCTGGATGAAAATCTCCCGGACACAGCAGGTACCAAGCTTCACTAGCAGATTTCCGGCACGGGTGCACAGCGAGCACCCGTACATCCCTCAAGCCACCAGAGCCGCAGTACTTGGACACGATCCAGGTGCTTATCCGCCAACAATGCTGAGAAGGCACTGGAGCCATACAGGAACATATGATCGAGCATGACCACAGACTTGAAATACAGGGTTCGGCGTTGAATACTGAGACAGCGACGTCTCCTCCACAGAACACCACTCAGCCCCACCATTGCATTATTTTTCGCTTTTTCATGATTTTTACAATTGTGTTAGAGCACACAGCACTCGATGCAGCATTTACCAGTGACTAAATAACTCCGCGTCTCCGACCATAACTGCAGCGTTAGCGTGAGCCTATTGGATTTCCGTCAGCCTGTTGAGATTATCTTCATCTCGTCACATGTGAGCCTGTGTGTTTCATCCGTATCGTGGCACAATTACACAGACACGATTTCCAACTCAGGCCGGTTCCGTTGCTCGAAGGGTTGGCGGTAAGAATTGCTACGCCGTCTGTAGCTGCATGGGAACTTGGCGAGTCGTCGTCTTTCTCCATAAATCCTGATCGTCACGCGAACAACAGCCACTATTGCCTAAAAACTACGACACAACAGTATCAAGCTCGCCCCAGCAGAAGGACACGAATGACGAGCGCTAAGACGGAGCCGGAGAAAGAGAGACAGGGTTTGCGAGAGCTGACTAGTGCAGGTACGCTGTCATCTCCTGAGGTGGTGGGCGAAGCAGCGAAGTGAAACGAAGAAAGATAGAACTTATTAGAAGGTATACGGAGGCACCAAAACCTATTGCCTGTCACATACTAAGTGCCATTTAGGGTTGACAGCTGTCAGCTGACAGCCTCAAAAATTTGAAAATCTGCTCAAAAAACTCTCGATCAGAACTCTGCGCACTCTCAAATGGAGCGCACAGTAAAAAACTCGGCGACGAAGAACGCTTCGTATCGACGCCCTGGACTGAATTCGGCACGTCCAACAAACGGAATAGTGTTCTCTGATATATTATTCTCTACGTGCTGGGTATGGTCGCGTTTAGTTGGAAGCTCAGTGCATCACCACTTTCGATTTTGAGACTTGGCCGATGGACTAAGACAAGAGCAGCAGGATAAGGAGGTCCCTTTTCGCTTGCGCCGGCTCCGCTGAGTCAATGAAACTGCACGTGACCGTGTCCACGTTTCAGCGGGTAGATACAGTGCAGTGCACGTAGATTCTGCACGCTAGTACTAGTAGTAGTATCAAGTACACCGGCCACGCACCGGTCATCAGACTCATACCCCACAGCAGGATTTCATCCACAGCATGCACTGCAGTTGAGTCTTTTTCACAGACTGCAGAGTGCAGTTGATGTACATGTACGTAATCGCACTTCAAACACTGAGGACATGTCCATTGTACATAGCGTCATAGGTGCCAGCCATACGCAAACTCGTTGTACAGAATATTGCCTATTGGTAAGGATACATGTTTTGCCCGTACAAGAGGCCTCTCAGGAATCACAAAAAGAAGTTAGTTACACACGCACCGTACATGCAGTGGTCTCCTCACGTTTTGGGGTAATACATGTACATTACTCTACACTCACGTACATGCACATTGCCATTGTACTCAATCCTCGCTAGAACTACAATCACGTACATGTGTGTGCACGTGCACATTGACAAGCAACAGCAGTATAGGCAACAAAGGTACATAATGATGAAGTAGGTGCTTCAACGAGCTGTGTTCGTAAATGGAACACAATAAATAGTATTATCCAGAAAGCCGAGGAAAAGCCTAAATGGCCTTGTATGATTCTGGAAAGTGGCTTGCTGACAGAATGGACTTGCATCTTTGCATGCAAAGTTATGGAGTGAAAAATTGGTCCGATCGCTTCCAAACTCCAAAGAAGGAAATCAAATCAATTGACAACTACTTGTATTTCAATGGATAAGGTAAACTTCAAAAGAGGAATGCTCTAACCATCCGAGCCATGGGACCAGGCGAAACCTAGAAAGCGCTGACAGGTTTTCACTTCCTGCTGAGACCAATCTAATAGCTAGAGTCGGACCCTGGCTTACGTGTCACCGGTTCCACGCTTACAAGTTCAAGAGATACGTGCACTCACGTCACTAGTGCTTAGATACAAGTCGGAGATCTGAAACTTACAAGCAACCAGTTTAGTTTTGCACATCAGACGGCGAGAAGAAGTGTTTACTCCTGGGGAATTTTGTGCCTGTCCGATACCATCAGTTCTAATTTTCTTTCCCTCTGAGCAAGGTAAGGATGGATGTTTTCAGCAAACCAAGTTAAACGTCCTCAGGGATTACTGATAACGGATTGTTATTCTTCATCACATTTTCTGACTATATGCTGATAGAATCTGGAATGAGGATAGCCCTAGACAAACCGATTGATGTGACACTCTAGGCCATGTCGCGTGTGTTTCTGTGTGCGCGAGCGTGTGCGTGTCGGTGTCTGTATTTGTTCTCCAATGACAATGTGTGTAGGTTGCTTGTGGCTGTCTCCAGGATAGAGATTGAAAAAATTACATACATACATACATACATACATTGCCAATGGATGCCAATCAGCAATCTGACCATTCCGATGACGAAGCATCAGCGGTAGCCCTTCCACAACATATCACCGCCCTCATTGAGCATGATTATCCTTTGCCAGGGTTTGTTCCTGTTGGCCTTACTGTTCGGGATGATGAAGTCATGCAAGAAGAGCTGTCGCTAGACGAAGGAGCCGCGGGTTTTGTTAATGAATATGAAGATCAACATTCAAGGGCGTTGGAATCAGTGGAGACAGGACTTGGCAATATTCTATTTGATGTATGGGACTCCACTCTATTACCTTTGCTGGCTATTGCGGACATCTTTCAGTTGTGTAGGGTTAGTAGACGCTTGAGAGAGCTGCTACACAATGAGCACACATTCAAGGGTCTATGTCAGGTGAGTGCCAATGTGCGATGTGAATGATTTGTGAATTTTGGTTTTAGTTATTCTGATTTCAAGTTGCATTTGGATAACGCACACGGATACCTGCCAAGTACTGAAAGTGCTTTTTCCTAAATAGGCCGCGTGGATAAATCCTCTAAAATATAGCTATGAACAATATTTGAAAATGCGCGGTCTTTATCACAAACATATCTACCAAAGTAGTTATGTGTATCGTACCGATTTCTTTTCACATTCATCAGTGGCATATCGTGACTAATGGCATAACAGAGAACAACCTAAGGTTACATATCTTATGGAACAGAGATAATGACAGTGCCAAAAACAACAGCAAAAATGAATTCAATATTACATGAAAGATAAGGCTATAATAATTTTCGACATCACTAAAAAATGTTTTTCATCCAGGTCATGCGCGAGTGAATAGCAACTGAATAAAGCGGTTGTCAGTTGACAAATCCCCTTTTATTTACAATGCAGTTGCGTGATGTCCACCGCTTTCTGAAGACATGGCTAGATGTGAGAGCAGGCACAGGTGATTGTAAGCGAGAAAGTATGATGGCGAGAATGAATAGTGAATGTGAATTAAAGGAAAAAATGTGAGTGCAGTGAAATTTTCCTTTTGCTTACAATCATCAGGATAACTGAGACGAATATAAACAGACTCTCCGTTTTCAGCGCAAAAGGCGTAACTCACTTTTTAAGAAAAGAGTCAGTTTACAACAAGCGTGTTGTCAGTTGTGGCATACAGGTCTGTTGGGACTTTTAGAGTTCCGTAGTTTTTTTGCTGTACTATTATTATTATGTTTGTCGTGGACATGGAAATCGAGTCGCACGTCTAGCGGCTCCAGTGCGCAGGCCATGCAGCCGTGGGTAAGCAGTACACACATGCATGTATTATGCGCACGCACTGAGGCCTGAGGGCGCCGGCCCAGGTCAATCGACTGGATTTCCATGTCCACGACAATATGATTACTCAGCCATTGCGTCAATGCGGTAATATTTCAATTTTTGAGATTTGTGTATTGGCACAGACCAACATCAGTGTTGATGGCAGGACACGTCGAATAATCAAAAGCAGAATATAAATTTTACATACAGTGTACATTGTACTCAAAGGGTAAGTAGCGGATTTCGGCCTGTTTATCAAAGAAGAAATTTCACCTGCACCACATGCGCTCTGTGGTCGACCACATCGCACCAGCAACATGAGTCCAACTTGCAGATTCTGAAAAATGAAAATTTCCTCCATGCAGTGCTGTTTTGACCACTTAAGTCTCATATGTGAAAGTCGCGAATAATGAACGGCTAGCATTAATTTTAAAGCACAGTTTTATATTTACAATGAAATGAAGAAGCGCGATCCCGCGTTGGTGCATGTTGCTGGTGTGATGAGGTCAGCTACAGAGCGCATATGATGGATTTGGATTTGCTGTATTCATACAGTGTACATTTAATAAAGTGCTTCGTAGCTGTAATGGGGTGGCAGGCCTAGATGGCTGGAACAACTTGCTGTGTACAGCATTGGGGAGTAGGCTAATCGGCATTCCTCTTGTTGGGCACTCTCCGTAGGCTGCTTCAGTGCTGCTGCATTGCGTATGGCACGCTACCTCACGTAGTTTGAGCACGTTAGCGCTAGAGAGACGAGCTATCTTCGTGTCTGTGATGCCTCCTTTGTACCTTGGCCGCTACTTCATCGTACTTCAGAGTCGCAGCTCCTCTGATGAGCTAAAATGGCCGAAATAGCTTGCTGACTCCAGCGTTGGGCAAATGCAGTGTACAATAATGTAGATACATTGACCAGCATGACCAGCTCCTAATCCCTCAAACAGTCAAATTATTTTTCCTGTTTGATGTTGGGCGTTAAACCAGTGATGGCGGGTCTCACATTATTTCACTCATCTTTAGATATAATCCAGGTTTATCCAGTTGCCTAGTGCGCTGGTGGCGATGAGTCAAGGAACATCGGCCACTGCGCACTGGTTTGTCGGCACCATCAACAGAAGATGCATTGCGGTCGATTTTCGTTTTCACCAGACGAGACCAGACGACGCTTGCAGACACCAGCACGAGAACTGCACCAGTCACACTCCACAACAGCTAGAAGTTGCTCCTGACAAGCCTTGTTTCACTCCATTATGATGTTGGGAACTCATCAGAGTAGAGGTAGAGAAGATACATTTTAGCTAGGGAAAGGGGTTCCTTGATCTTCTTGACGACTTGATCTATGTTTATTCGTTCAGCTGCATTGGGTCGTATCAGGTACCGCAGGAATAGCAGCTTGCCAGCACAGTCCATGCTAGGAGCACGCAAGCCTGGATAGTTCAAAGGCTACCAAAATCCGATACTGAACACGGGACCATTCATCATTACAAATTCCTCGAAAAAAGAGTCACTGAATGTAGTTTCATGCAATAATGGGAGGTAGCTACTGCTAGGCATCACATACACAGCTCCAGGATTTCGGTGAAGGATTCACCATTACCCAATCCTGTAGCCTAGTGTAGGAGTAGGCTAGGTCTGGGTGTGGTAGATCTTCTAGTCCTGTGCATCAGGACGAGTTGTGAGAAGTACAGGTTGTGAGCCATGCATACTGTATCGTCATCGCCAGCCTCTTATCTGGTCTCCCTAGGGCTGTATCCAGGGCCTATTCATCTGGTGCAGGCGGGAAGAAGCATCCTTCTTGAATGCGAGCTAGGCCACATACTGCGTATCTTGCCAATGCGTGAACATGTGACCAACCGACGACGGAATAACAAGCAGATAAATAGCCGCAACTTCTCGGATTTGCTTTCACAGCAGGTTCACCATCGCATTGCATGGCGTAAGAGGAATTTTACGTTGGTCATTATCCTCTGGAGTCGCGCTCCCACGCTCCATCACCACGAACTGCAGTCCAAAATCGTTTCACTAGCTCACAGTCATAGCAACGCTGATTTAAAAAAATGATGGATCTAGCTTAAGTGTCAATGTACTTTTGCATTCTAACAATAAGAGTAAGAGGACGGCGGAAAACTTGTTTTAAATCTGAGTTTCAGCACAAAGCGTTCATCAGAAAGCAGTTCACTTCTTCAGTCCTCGTGTGGTTTGAACAAGTTCTGCCTCTGGGTATTGAGCACTCTCTTGGACAGCCTGGAACCTTTCTGCTTTACCTTTGCATTCTTACCAGCCATGCTCAGATTATGCCGTGGCCCAGTTGCGCCCGGTGCGTGAACTGCAAGATGCGTGCGATTTGGGGGATTCCCGGCTTCGCGGTCGTCGCATCGCGCGTTGCATCGAAAAAAAGCTTCTGTGAATCCCGCTTGTTCTTTAACACATGTCGGATCAAAGTGGATGAACGAAAAGAACATTCCCTGAATTTAACTGTTTGCATAGGATATGGAGTTTCTACGATGCATATAAACCTGTCAAAAAACCACTACATATATACATGTACTCGGACACTGAGCTAGTATGAGAAAAAGAGAAGAAACGCATGAGAAGGAGATGAACAGTCAGAAAGTTCGATAATGGAGCACAAAACTGACAGGCTACTGACACCGATTATCGCACTTTCTGACTGTTTATCATTTTGTTGCAGTGGTGGGTAGTTGCTGCATAAATCCTTTTCATGTCTTTCTTCTCTTTTTCACTACATTTACATTGAAACAAAATTGCCCTATTATAGAAAACCTACGTTCGGGAAATAACACCAAGAAAACTCCTCGCCGTTTGTTTAACTTCTAAAAGCATTTACATTGTGTAAACACCCCGGCATACCAGATTTTCAATGCGCATATTCTCACGAAGTGCGCTACTGGTTGAAAAACACAAGGAGAATTGATGATTCCTCATACATGTAATTGACACGCTTTTTGTCAGTGTGACATTGTTTCAAATGTGTGGTGGCCATTAAGGAATCGTTTGGTTTTACTATAGATCACCCAGCCAAATTGTCAATTCGCATATCGCATAATGTACATGTACGTCATGTTTTACTGTCTTTTTGTTGCTCGACTGTCCCATGCATACAGCACCGGTATCAGCTCAGTCCGTATTTGGAGATGTCCTACATTCAGATTGCCAAAGTCATGTACATCGCCACCAGGGTAGCTAGCCTGATTCGTAGCGGCATGACGGAGTTCATGAACAGTGTTATCCGCAGCAATGATCATCGTGTTTTCGAACACAAAATGCGGTCGATTGTGCGATTATCAAGCCTCGCTCTGGCATTGCCTGAGAACGTCGTGAATACATTCCCTAGCTGGACAAGCACTGGGCAGTTGATGATACTCGCACCACAGCAGTGCCTGTCGGCGGAAGAAGCTTGTACCTACCTTCCAAATATTTCACCGACGTTGATCGCAGAAACATGCAATGAGGAACCAGGTTGTAATTTGTACAGCCTTGAAGACCTAGTGAAGTTATCGTTTGAGAGGTGCAGCTCTATTGAACAGTACGAAATAGCAATCATCAAGGATTTAGAGAAAGATAGTTCAGAGATGGTCCAATACTTGTCGTCAACGAACCGCTCTAGCAGGCTTGTGTGCATTGCGAAAGGGTTTTACAGCGTCGCAAAGCGAGATGCGAAAATGATCTCAATACTAGACAACGTTTTCATGATCCGTCATCTCAAACCTAGCTTGTGCTTAGTTACTCCTTGGAATCATAACCCCTTCTATGATCAAGATATCGATTATGCTGACAGTGACCTGGTGACTGCTTACATATTTATCTCCCGATTGTGGATTGACGCCACTACACTGCTCGCAACAACACACTCTGTGATTAATCTACTGATAACCAGAAACCTGCAGTCATCAGACGCCGAGGATTACTTCACGGCTTGTCTTGAGTACATCACGCTCTGGCTGAGTTTGCCACAGTCCAGTCGCCCCAAGGGTGACCATCTATTTCGTGGCTTGGGTACCTACATACTTGAGTCATCACTAGGATCAGATTCGCAGAGAAGATTGACCAAAGTCGATTTCCTGAATGCTTTGACACAATATGGCGATGAACTTGTTGCCAATGCGATCTTGCACGTCTAAGACTTTTAATATTATTCCTCCTGCTGGAAAAGCCCAAACAAGTTCTGCACATTATTTCCCTAGTCATTTCTGTTTGTTGAGAAGTGTCGTCGATATTGATAAACTTTGATTCAGACTCTTTTGATCTCTTTTGATCTTGTTGACTTGCTCAATTGAGTTTTGTTATTACAGACTTATACAAGTTTTGAGAGGCGACTAAGCACGTGTGCAAGCCGTGGAAGCATTACGTCATAGTTTCCTCTCCACCCGACTACTCACCTATTCTCAAATGACGCTTCCACTACATTTTGCATTTTTAATTATTTTCACTTAAAAACTTCGCTGCAGATATGGCTCATACTTCTGTTCACAAGAACTGTATTACTACTGTTAGGTACCTCCTCCCGTACCTTTTCTAGCTGGCCTGCATGCACTTGCGTACTCACCTTTTGTCTCCTTTTCTTCCGTTGGCCTGGGTAGCTACTTGCGCGCCCATATTTGCCATAGCTACCCAGGCCCTTTATCTTGCCGTTCAGACTTGATCTCTTGCTCTCTTTTCTCACTCTTCAATGCAGTCGTTTCGTTCGTCTTGGTCTCTTGTCTCGTCGTCTATAATAAATGTCGTTCCCCCAACCTACCTGTTCCCGTTGTAATGTCTGGATAATGTGTCGTCAGTCGTCCTGTTTCGAATTCAACATTGGCGCCCGATTATTGATCGACCCACGACCCTGAGATCATCCCATGCCCAGCCGTCCTCAACCGCCATTCGTCTCGTCTATGTCAACCTCGTCTCGTCCATGTCAGTCTCGTCTCTCCTACGCCAACCTCGTCTCTCCTACGCCAACCTCGTCTCGTCTATGTCCACCTCGTCTCGTTCAAGCCATGCAGGTCAGCTACCTTTCTCTCTTTCTTTTTTTGTATCCTTCTTCGTCAAATTTATTTTCCTGAATTTTTTTGTAGTGTATGCGCGCGCGTGTGTTCGTAAAACATTACCAAGTTAGGGGTCCGATCATGGTGAGCCACGCTCTAATTTTTGGATGTTTAGCAAAAGTGTAAGTAGGCTGTATTAGCCGTGCAAAATACTAGTAATTCACGTTCCTCGTCAAACTCCAATAGTTATTACACACTATAAGTAGTACAGGAATGATCTGTAGTGCATTTCTAGTAAACACTTTCGTGAGATCCGTGCGCGCGTGCAATATGTGTGTGTGTGTGTTTTTTCTCCTCCAGTCATTTTTAAAATCTTTTTCTCTCTTTTTTTCTCTCCGCGAGGACGCGGGATTTTTTCATGGAGGGGTGGTATGTTAGGTACCTCCTCCCGTACCTTTTCTAGCTGGCCTGCATGCACTTGCGTACTCACCTTTTGTCTCCTTTTGTTCAGTTGGCCTGGGTAGCTACTTGCGCGCCCATATTTGCCATAGCTACCCAGGCCCTTTATCTTGCCGTTCAGACTTGATCTCTTGCTCTCTTTTCTCACTCTTCAATGTAGTCGTTTCGTTCGTCATGGTCTCTTGTCTCGTCGTCTATAATAAATGTCGTTCCCCCAACCTACCTGTTCCCGTTGTAATGTCTGGATAATGTGTCGTCAGTCGTCCTGTTTCGAATTCAACACTACGTTTAAATGGGACACCTGATTCTATTTTGGTCTGTCAAGTTGACTTTAGTTTAGAGTGTCATTATAGTAATGTCGATCGGATTATCTCAACCTTTGCCAAGCAGGACTATCTCATTCCATTTTCTCTATCTGTAAATTCATCAGATAAAATGCTGAAATATTGAATAATTCTTAGTTAACCCTGAAAGAAGGTTATCCTGACATGCTGCCGAAATCCAGTCATACCTTGGTCAGAGGAACAAAAGTTAGAACTGATGATATCGGCTAGGTACAAGCTAGATGCTTACTGTCGGTTGACAGCAATAAACAAGGTGGATTACACTGTGGTCGGAAACAGTGACCTTTCTGCAACCATCCACGACTGGTAGAGCCCAGTGGATGGTTATAGAAAGGTCACTGTTTCCCAACACGATGTCCTCCACCTTGTTTCATGTTGTCAACCAACAACATGTGGTAACTAAAACAAGGCTTATCTAATACCAAGCTAGATGCTCTATAAGTTTCAACTAAACTGCTCCCGCCGTCCGATTTGCATCACTGAGCTGATCTCTTGTAATTTTGAGATCTCGGACGTGTACTGTAGTACTAGTGACGTACCTGTAATCGTTTGTACCCCTTTAACTTGCGTGAGAGCACTGAGACGTGTGGGTCCTATGCAAGTTGTTTGATGATTCTCAGTATACATGTAGAAGCGCAGTGCAAACACCGATGGTCACCTCATATAATATTCATATACTCGGATGGAGAGACAATGATTAATGTGCTGTAAAGTAGAGGAACAAAGAACTACACGCTACGCTATACATAATGTTGACTAACACTACCAGTACTTGGAATTTAGCTCATGGGATAACATTGCATGAAAGTGACCAAGAGTACTGACGTTCTAAAACTAGCTTCCCAATAGTATATTGGGTGCCTGAGAATCGAGAGGTCGCGGGTTTGAGCCCCGCACTGGCACATCTGACTGCAAAATGCCCACGACGCAGCTCACCAGATCAAGATGAGGGCCCTCTGCCCTCAGTAGAATCAAGTCGAGCGAGCTGCAATTCCCGGTGCCGAAAGGCGGGCTCACGCCCTAAATGGCTACATCTCCTTGTCTAACCCACCAAAACGAAATGCTAATAGCCGACTGGTCGAATATCAAAAAAATAGCTGGCTATCAGCTCTAGCACGTCTTGGGTGCGCACTCCAATAGCCTTCCAACTTTGAAGGTTCTAACGTCGAAAATTATATGATAACATACATTTATACATGTAGGAGGGGAAGGTGAGCGCAACCAAGACAAGCACTAGTTGAACATTTCAGCTGTGAAGCACGTTGGCCGATATACATGTACATGTACATGTACATGCAGGTCGATGATGATACATGTACTGGCAAAACCATTAAATTTTGACAATAGTTGTAGAATGTCAGTACTGGCGGTGAGTTTTGTGCAATGTTATCGCATGAGCTAATTGCAAAGAAATTAGTAACTGGTGGTGTTAGTGGACATTAATGCGTATCTTGTAGTTCCTTGGTCCATTTTCTTCACCATAAATTAATATCATACTATAGTCCATTCATTAGAAACTGGCACTCTCATTTTTTGGAGCCTCCTACATATAGATGCAGATAACGTGAAAACAGATGTACATTCTGCATTGTGTGACCTGTACAATTATTCCTTCCCACATTTGAGGCCACAAAAGTCCAAGAACAGGGAAGTAGAAATTCAGCCTGGTTTCACAAAATTAGGATAGGTATGCCATGCCGAAATGTGTGGAGAACCAGATCCAAAACCCAGATTTTTGAGATTTCAAATGGGTTTTTGATTCTCAAATCGGCCCAAATCCGACTTTCAACACCCGGCGGGACTGTTTCCGATGAATGGACTGTAGACCAGGTAGACTTCTACCATACATACATGTACATACATGTACGTGTTCGTATACATGTACTTCGAAGTACTTGTACATACCTTTACAATAATGTGGTTTGTTGACATTATGAGAAGGTGGAGACAAAAATGTGTTCGGAAACAGTGATCTTTCCACAATTTTGCTTTTTTGTGTCGGGCCAGAAACTTTCTGAACCCCTTCGTACATGTATAGTGTGAGTCACTTGAACTCTTTGAACGGGCCAAAAGTGCAGAACTTTCATGAAGTATTCGATTACGGCACTACTACTAGCTCTGAGAACGATGGCCGGCCACGGTGAAAATTACGTAATATTATTGAAGAATAAGTGAGGAGAGCTTTGAAAGCCGTGGAGTGATATGAAAGAGCCACGTTGTGAATTAGGTTGTCCTCAAATGGTCCTCAATGGTACGGGACGGTGAAGAAGTCGGAGTATAGGCGAACACTCGTGATTGTACAGAAAAGAAAGGCCAACTAGGTTTCGTACGGCAGTAGACCGCTGGATCAACGATTGTCACAGAACAGTGTTGTGATCCCAATACATTGTGAGTACCAATGAGTCCCGCGGTGAGTCTTTCGGAAACTATCTAGTCGACAAATGCTTAGAAAACGGGTGACACTCATTGAACCTGGGCCGAGTCCACTTTTCAGCGGGTAGATCTTATGATGCAGTGCACGTAGATTCTAGGCGCTAAGCTAAAGACTTCAACTTGAGTTCAAGTGCACCCGCCACGGTCATCCCCTGCAGGATTTCATCCACAGCAGTACATTGTACAATGCACTTCGAAGTGCCTTGCACAAGTAGGTGCCAGCCATACGCAACCTCCTTACACAGTATCTTGGTGAGTTTACATGTAGAAGTAACACACGCACAGTTCACGCAGTTGTCTCATGTTTTGTATTTTTTATCAATTACTACTAGTAGCTTCTCCGCGTAGGCAACGTGACTAGTACAAGCAGCCTGACAGGTTTTCACTTCCTACTGAGACCGATCCAATAGCTAGCGTAGGACCCTGGCTTACGTCACACAGGTTCCACACTTACAAGCTCAAGAGATGCGTTGTTTTCTTTATGTTGTTGTTTTCTTTATTTGAATTCGCTAAAACCAAACGGACAGAACTGTCCAGTGACAAGGGAGCGAATGATGAGCGTCATAATCACTATGCATCAAAACATCTCAGCACAAAATGAGACAGACTATATTAAGGGAGGGTCTGCACAACACTTGTACATAAAGGGGAGTACGAGAACAAAGGCGCGGCAGAAGTCGAAGCAAGAAAGCAATCAACGCCAGAGATATTTATGTCCACCAAAAACAGAGAGAGAGAGAGAGAGAGAGAGAGTGAGAGAGAGAGAGAGAGAGAGAGAGAGAGAGAGAGAGAGAGAGAGAGATCCGAGAGCGAGAGAGAGACAGAGAGAGAGAGAGACTAACAAATGAGGGCTGAGACCTCTACAGCAGGGCTTTACGTCTGAAAACAACCGCACGAATTAACAAGCAAGTTGTCAGAGAACAGGGAGAGAGACGGGCAGGCAGGCCAACAGGCAGGCATATAATGAAAATATGGCGATAGTGATCCGTCTGACCTCAAGGGTTCATGCTGTGTGGAACAGCAGCAGTGCGAAATTGGGCCGGGTGCGGTATGGCCCGCACCTCGCTGGGCAACGCATTCCAGAGCCTAGCTCCTTGGAACGCGAGACAACCCTTACCCAGCTCAGTGCGGGTTGGCGGTGGTCTTAGACCCATAGATAATTGCAGCCGAGTAGGAGCGCCACTGGTTGGTAGCAACAGCACTTGCAGTGTGGGGCTAGCACGGGAGTAGCGGCAGCGCCAAACCAGGAAGATGAGCTTCTGGATGAAGATCTCCCGGACACGGTAGGCGCCGAGTTGGACTAGCAGGTTTCTGGCAGAGGTGCGCGGCGAGCATCCGTACACAGCTCGAGCCGCACGATTCTGCAGAACTTGGAGACGGTCCAGGTGCTTACCCGCCAGCGATGCTGAGAAGGCATTGGAGCCATATGAGAAATCAGGCATGATCACCGACTTGAAGTACTGGATGCGGCTTTGCATGCTGAGGCAGCGGCGCATCCGCCACAGCACACCGACTTTCTTGGTGAGGCGGGCAACGCACCTATCCATCTGGGTGTTCCAAGACATGGCGCTGTCAATGTGAACTCCGAGGTAGCGAGCAGAAGAGACAGATGGCAGCTTAGTCGCATGACACCATACGTCCAGTTCAGGTTGCGCTTCTAGCTTCCCAGCCGGTACTACCAATGCCTGAATTTTGATGCATTAAGGATCAAACCTCGCTGCTTCAGCCAGTCAGCAATGCATGTCACTGCTCTGGAGAGAGTGGCGGTCAGTTCCTGTTGTGTTGGGCGACTGCAGGTCAGTGCGATGTCATCTGCGAACTGGATGGACTCAGCTTGCTGGGCAACAGATGGTATGTCCCGGGTGTAAATGCGTATGCTCATGTCACTAGTACTAATCTCATTACTTATTACTGGCTGCCCGTTTTGGATCTATCAGTTGCCGAATGATCGTAGTAATACGTGAAAGTCAGAGTTGGGACAAAGTTTCCAATCTCTCTTGTGTATAAGTCAGAGATCTGAAGCTTACAGGCGACCAGTTGAGTTTTGCACATCAGACGGCGAGGAGAGATTTTTACTCCTGGGGAATTTTGTGCCTGTCCAATACCATCAGTTCTAATTTCTTTTCCTCTGCGCAAGATAAGGAGGGATATTTCAGCAAGCTAGGATAAACGTCCTCAGGGTTTCCTGATAACGAACTGTTATTGTTCATCACACTTTCTGAGTATATGTGGAGAGAATCTGGAATGAGGATAGCCCTAGACAAAGCGATCGATGTGACACTCTAGGCCATGTCGCGTGTGTGTGTCTGTGTGCACGAGCGTGTGCGTGTCGGTGTCTGTATTTGTTTTCCAATGCGTGTTGGCTGGTTGCGCCTGTCTCCAGGATAGAGATCGAAAACTTTCATACATACATACATTGCCAATGGATTCCAATCAACAATCTGACCATTCCCATGACGAAGCATCAGCGGTAGTTCTTCCACAACATATCACCACCAGCAGTGAGCATGATTGTCCTTTGCCAGGGACTGTTCCTGTTGACCTTACTGTTCGGGATGATGACGTCATGCAAGAAGAACTGTCGCTAGACGAAGGAGCCGCGGGTTTGGTTAATGAATCTGAAGATCAACAGTCAAGGGTGTTAGAATCAGGCGAGTCAGGACTTGGCAATGTTCCATTTGACGTATGGTCCTCAACTTTGTAACCTTTGCTTTCAATTCCGGACATCTTTCAGCTGTGTGGAGTTAGTAGACGCTTGAGGGAGCTGCTACACAATGAGTACACATTCAAGGGTCTATGTCAGGTGAGTGCCAATGTGCTGTGTGAATGATTTGTGAATTTTGGTTTCAGTTATTTCGCTTTCAAGTTGCATTTGAAATTGAATACTGTAATGCATGCGCATACCTGCCAAGTGCTGGAAGTGCCTTTCCTAAATAGTCGGCGTGGTTGTATCCTTTAAAGACAAACCTTTTCAACCAAAGTAGCTACATGTTTGTGTCCGGTATGAGTTTCTTGCCACATTCATCAGTGGTATGACGTAACTTTTAAGGTATAACAGAGAACAACATAAAAATATATACATTCGGTACAGAGATAATGAAAGTGCCAAAAACAACGTCAAATGTTAAGGGGGCAGCCTACCCATAAATTTCATATGGCATTCAATTGACCGTAACTTTGGTGTTTCTCAGTGGATTTGAGTGAAATTTTGACCACACACTCCTGCCACTATGCTGTCCCTCAGGACATGATTTACAAGTTCTTGCGCCTCACTGACAGGCTTTCCAGGCCGGAAAAACTCAAATTTCCGGCATAGTGCCACGGTGTGCGAGCCACCCAGGAGCCAAACAAATGCATTTACAATTTTTTCACATTTTCGTGCCCATTCTGTCCGTGCGCGGGACCCAAACCTAAAACAAGTCCAGAAGCAGCCATGGGTGGTGGGGTAGGGCCCCTCAACGTGGCCCTGGAATCTGTCACAACGGAACGAGTGGGCGTTCTCTCACGGACTCCCACAGATCCAAGTCAATTTTTGAATTTTTTTAGGTTTAGCACGTGCTACGAGGTCGTACCTTTGATACAACATCCAGTGCTGGGACCTCCACAGCAAGCCATTTCCACAGCGCTGCACGCCAAATCCAGGATGCCCTCAGAAACCGGCAAAGACTGCCACTCACGTTTCACTACTGCCTAGTACTGAATCCTACCTGACTTCTTGACACGACTCAAACTTGCCAAAGTCACTAAATCAACGTCAACTACAATAATCAAGCCACATATCTGCAACGTCACGAGGGTGCTGGCAAAAGTCCTGCTGCACGGCGGCGGGCTTCGCCCGCCGCCGTGCAGCCCAATACGTGGTTTTTTAACGTGGTTTTTTGGACACTTTCGCGTGTTTCCATAATACGGCAAGTTGCGCACGGTCTGCTCACATTCAAATACAGTGCTGCCAACAAATGACAGCATGCAACAACAAAATCTTTCCTTGCAAGGGCACATTTTCGGCCATAACTCTTGAACGGCTGGTCAGATAGGGACACAATTTTCAGAGAATTTTATTTTTATTTTTTTTATTTATTTCACCTTCCCGTGGCCAGAGAATATAGGCCAATATGGAGGGAGGGGGGCGGTAGCCAGCCATGGCAGTAAACAAAAACAAAGCAAAAATAAATAAATATTACACATTACTGGAGGCAAAGAGAAACAAATGTGGATGAAGAACAAGCAGTTATTAGAACACGAGCTTCGTGTTGGCCTTGAAATCCTTTAGCGTACAAGACGATTTTACTGATTGAGGCAGGGCCAGCCAGAGAGAATATGCAGCAAAAAACGGAGATCTGGTATAAGCTGAGGTTCGGGCTTTAGGTAAAGTGCAGGGATTGCGCGTAGGACGAGTGGGAAGAAACCAGTTATATTTACGCAAATGTGGCGGGGCTTTGTCAAGACGAATAGAATGAACAACAATACACAGTTTTCGATCCGCTTGACTAGAGATAGGGAAGGTGTTAAACATATCATACAGCTCGGCAGAAGGAAAGTATGATGGTTTGCGGAAAAGGACTTTGAGTATCCTCTTATTGTGGACTTCCAGGGTACTCATTAACAATTTACTAAGTAGAGATGAACAGGCGGTTGAGCAATAGAGAAAATGGGGAGAATATAGCAAGGATAAAAAGGCGAATGCATTCAAGCGGCAGGTGGGAGCAGTGAGACACGAGGTAGCCAACAGCTTTACTGACTTTGCTACAGATATAGTCGACATGTCTACTAAACGATAAGTCTGAGTCAATGACCAAACCAAGATGTTTGTGTTGTTTTACCACTGTGAGGTCTGTGAGGGATCCGGGAAGAGTGAATGCATAGGTTGGCTCTGAGTTCGGCAGGAATAATATCTCAGTCTTGGCGATATTAGGTCTTAGTCTCCAGGTAGTCATCCACTGATGGACTTCGTTGATACCGCGCTGGAGACTGTCTCGCAGCCTGTCTAGACACTCATTGAACCGGAGCAGTGCAGTATCGTCAGCAAATAAGGACACCCCTTCAACATGACTGGGAAGATCATTTATATACACTAGGAAAAGGAGGGGCCCTAGGATGGATCCCTGGGGCACTCCGGACAGAACAGGTGAAGCATCTGAGAGAGTTCCACCTACAAAGACAACTTGCGTTCTGTCGGATAGGTAGTCTGTAATCCACTCCAGCGCTGCTGAGTCACACACACCGAAAACTTTGGAAAGTTTAGCAAGTAATGCACGGTGCCACACGGTGTCGAAAGCTTTCTCGAGGTCGAAAAAGCACATGGCAACTTTCCACCCCATATGACGTTGGTCGGCAATGTTTTGGATCAGCTTGGTGAGCTGTAGAGCGGTCGAGTCACCACGACGAAACCCAGATTGCGCGGGATCCAGAGCAGGAGAAATATGATTATACAATTGATTGAAGAAGAGCCGTTCGCAAAGTTTGGAAATACAGGACAGGAGGGAAATTGGGCGATAGTTACTAGCTTGAGATTTGCTGCCTTTGCACTTGTAAATAGGCACAATTTTAGCCAGTTTCCAGTCAGTAGGGAACTTGCCTGTGGTAAAGGAGAGGTTAAATAGGCGGCTAAGTGGAAAAGAAATCGCAGGAGCTAGCTTCTTTATCATATTGTTCGTGATACCGTCTAGCCCTGGCGCTTTCCCAGATTTCAGGTTTGAGATGGCTTTACGAACATCTGCTGTAGTGATATGAACGCGGGTGAATTGGCGAGTAAGACGAGTGTCATATTGGAGAGGGGGTATTACTAAACTTGGATCATCAGGCACCGCGACAGAGGTAAACTGCTTGTTGAGGATGGTTGCTTTTTGGAAGCTGTCGGACACCAGCAGCCCATCAGGGCTTGCAATGTCAGGGATGCCAGGTTTTACTTTGTGCGATCGCTGACTGCGGACAAACTGGTGAAGCGTAGTGCTGCCTGAGGTAAGTGTTGTTTTGATTGAACGAATGTACTGGCGGTGGCACCAGCGGGAGAGATGTCTCACCTGGTTCCGCTGTGCCTTATATGCTGATAGGTTGTAGTCCGTAGGGAATTTCTTGGAGAGGCTGAATAGGTCACGCTTCAACTTGATAGCCTTGCGTAGTTCAGTGGAAACCCATGGATGATATTTGCGTGCAGACCCTGGGGTTGAGGGAGTTCGATTTGGTTTTAATTTGCAGCTAATCATGCTCTTTCAACTGACGTAGCACTCAATATGAATTTACAAATTCGATTTTTCAGCGAATTTTTGGGTAGTCTGCCACCTTAATTGAATATTTCATGAAAGATGACGCTAGTTGCTAGAATAGATAGATCGTGATTACTGTGCACAGCTAGCGAGGTGATTGTAAGCGAGAAAGTGTGATGGCGAGAATGAATAGTGAATGTGAATTATATGAAAAAATGTGAGTGCAGTGACATTTCCCTTTTGCTAACAACCATCAGGTTAACTGAGACGAATATACACAGCTTCAAGGACTTTCCATTTCTTGAAAGTACTAGCACGTTACACAACACTAGGCCACGTACTGTATGTCTTGCGAGTGTGTTAACATGTGCCCAACTGACGAAGGAATAACAAACAGATAAAAACTGCAGCTTCTCGGATTCGCATCGACAGCAAGTTCATCCCCACAGAATTGCATGGCGTGAACGAATTCTACGTTGGTCATTATCCTCTGCAAATCCGCCCATCAGGGCTTGCAATGTCAGGGATGCCAGGTTTTACTTTGTGCGATCGCTGACTGCGGACAAACTGGTGAAGCGTAGTGCTGCCTGAGGTAAGTGTTGTTTTGATTGAACGAATGTACTGGCGGTGGCACCAGCGGGAGAGATGTCTCACCTGGTTCCGCTGTGCCTTATATGCTGATAGGTTGTAGTCCGTAGGGAATTTCTTGGAGAGGCTGAATAGGTCACGCTTCAACTTGATAGCCTTGCGTAGTTCAGTGGAAACCCATGGATGATATTTGCGTGCAGACCCTGGGGTTGAGGGAGTTCGATTTGGTTTTAATTTGCAGCTAATCATGCTCTTTCAACTGACGTAGCACTCAATATGAATTTACAAATTCGATTTTTCAGCGAATTTTTGGGTAGTCTGCCACCTTAATTGAATATTTCATGAAAGATGACGCTAGTTGCTAGAATAGATAGATCGTGATTACTGTGCACAGCTAGCGAGGTGATTGTAAGCGAGAAAGTGTGATGGCGAGAATGAATAGTGAATGTGAATTATATGAAAAAATGTGAGTGCAGTGACATTTCCCTTTTGCTAACAACCATCAGGTTAACTGAGACGAATATACACAGCTTCAAGGACTTTCCATTTCTTGAAAGTACTAGCACGTTACACAACACTAGGCCACGTACTGTATGTCTTGCGAGTGTGTTAACATGTGCCCAACTGACGAAGGAATAACAAACAGATAAAAACTGCAGCTTCTCGGATTCGCATCGACAGCAAGTTCATCCCCACAGAATTGCATGGCGTGAACGAATTCTACGTTGGTCATTATCCTCTGCAAATCCGTCCCTGTTCAAAGGGAGTCACGCTCCCACACTCCGTCACCACGTAGTGCAGTCCAAAATAGTTTCACTAGCTCACAGTCATAGCACCGCTGATTTACAAAATCATGGATCTAGTTTTGTGTGAATCCATATTAACGATTAGACGGTCTTCCTTCACATCAGAGTTAGATTTTGACTTCTGAAGTCATAGCGTTCCAGTCTTGTGAAGCCTCACGACATTGATATGTTGGTGTTATGTTTGTATCATACATTTCATTGCTCCTACGGCGTTAACGTTGCTAAGCATCACTGTGCTTTTTCATTCTTATCAGCCTTGCTCAACTTTTGCCATGGCCCAGTTGCACCAGTGGCGTGAGCCGCGAGATGGGAGCGATTTGGGGATTTCCGGGTTTCGCGGTCCTCGCATCGCGCAATGCATCCCAAAAAAGCTGATGTGAATCCTGCTTCATCCTTGACACATGTCGTATCGAAGTTGAGGGAAGAAAAGAACATGCCCTGATTGTAACTGTTGTCATGGGATGTGGTGAATCTACATTGCATGTAAACCTTTCAAAAACCACTACATTTACATTGAAACGAAATTGAACTATTATAGAAAACCTACTTTCCAGAAATAACACCAAAAAGAACAGCAGTGACACTTACATGTACAAGTGTGAATTTTAACAATGACAGCGAGAGCAATCCCGAATGCATGTGCTAACAATCAACATGTAAATGAAAAATGAGAAAAACAAGAGAAAGCAAGGAAAATGCGCTCGCTGTTAGTGCTAAAATTCGCACTTGTAAACTTCGCTGCTGTTGTTCTTGGTGCTATTTCTCTAACTCAGGTTTTCTGAGATAATTTTTGTTTCAGTGTCCTTTAGTTCAAGCACGATTCTTGATGACTGTTTTTCGAAAACTTGTTTGATTCCTAGTTTTCTCTACATTATTACTTCCTACTTTCATCTTTTTTAACACATTGTCTCCCCCGTTATACATTGCATTAATAAAGCATACGCAAATGTCGATTCAGCATGTCTTATTGATTGCGGTTAGCAAATTATTGTCTCCTCGCCGTTTGTTAAACTTTTAAAGCACTCCAGTATACCAGATTTTCACTGCGCATATTGGCATGAAGTGCGCTATTGGTTGCAAAACACAAGGAGAATTGATGATTCCAAATATATGTAATTGAAACGCATTGTGTTAGTGCTACATTGCTTGACACACATGTATGTGGTTGCCATTCAGGAATCAAGTGGTTTTAGTATCGACCACCCAGCCAAATTGTCAATTCACATATCGCATAATGTAAGTCATGTTTTACTATCTTGTTGTTGCTCCACTGTCCCATGCATACAGCACCGGTATCAGCTCAGTCCGAGTTTGGAGATGTCCTACATTCAAATTGCCAAAGTCATCTACATCGCCACCGTGGTAGCTAGCCTGCATCACAGCAGCAGCATGGAGTTCATGAACTGCGTGTTCGGTCGCAAAGATCTTAATGTTTTCGAACACAAAAGGAAGTCAATTGTGCTATTATCAAGCCTAGCGCTGACACTGCCCAAGAACGTCGTGAATACTTTTCCTAGGTGGACAAGCACTGAGCAGTTGATGTCACTCGCACAAAAGCAGCACCTGTCCGTGTATGAAGCTTGTACCTACCTTCCAAACCTTTCACTGACGTTGATCGAAGAAACGTCCAATGTGAAAACAAGTTTCTTACCTTCTATGTACAGACTTGAAACCCTGGTGAAATTGTCGTTGGAGAGTTGCAGCTCCATTGAACAGTACCAAAGAGCAATCATCAAGGTTTTAAAGAAGGATAGTTCGAAGATGGTCCAATACTTGTCCGCCACGAACCGCTCTAGCAGGCTAGTGAGCATTGCGAAAGGGTTTTACAGCGTCGCAAGGCGAGATACGACAGTGGTCTCATTACTTAATAATGAGTATTTGATCGCACATCTCACACAGTGCTTAGCTAAGCCTTGGATCTATAACCCCTTCCATCATTTTATTATGAATTATGGAAACAGTGACATTGCTTCTGCTGACGCATTTGCCTCCCTTAAGTGGATTGACGCGACTACACTGCTCGCAACAACACACTCTGTGATCCATCTGATGATCACCAGCAACCTGCAGACATCTCAGGTCGAGGATTACTTCACGGCTATCTTTGAGTACACCAAGCTCTGGAAGAGTTTGCCACCGTCCCGTCGCCCCAGGCGTGACGATCTATACAGTGGCTTGGGTACCTACATACTTGGGTCATCACCAGGGTCAGATTCGCAGAGAATATTGACCAAAGTCGAAGTCCTCAACGCTATGAAACAATATGGCGATGAACTTGCCGCCAATGCGAACCCACAAAGCTGATTTATATCTTCTTGTTTATCCTTCTTCGATGGAAAGAAATGATGAACCACTCGCCCAACCAAGTTCTGCGCTGTGGTTGACTATTTTGAATTTGGTGACTTTTTCATTTCAGTTTCAGATTTGGAAGCTGACTGAGTACGCCTTCCGATCCTGATAGCACTAACGTTACATATGTTCCTCTCTGCCCAAAGCCCCAACCATTACCATGGCTCACTTTCACTTCTGTTAGCTTTTCTAGCCCCCCCCCCCCCCCCCCGTATCTAGTTGGTCTTCTACTTTGGTTTTGGTGAAACGAATATTCGAATATTCGAACATTCGTTCGGTTGGTCACATTCGAATATTTTAAAAGTCGCATTCGAGTATTCGTGACGTCACTTCGAATGCAGTGCATGTACATGTACATGCATGCACGCCAAACACAGTACAGACAGTGAGTACAGCCTGCCTGTGACTTTGCACTGCATGCTTGCACATGTACATGTGTAACAGGTAGCCGAGTGGTAGGCGCGGTGAAATCAACAAGAATTACTTTTATTCTACTTTCAGGTACACACCTGAGATATAATTATTAGTGAAAGAAGAAGCGGCAAAATAAATAATTTTCTCTCCGGTGCTCACCTAGAGGTTGCCTACTTCTTCTTCGAGTTAGCTTTCGTTGCTATCTAATCTAATCTTCTTAAAACAGAAAAACGCAGCTGCTTTTATGCAGCAGGCGCCGTACGCTTATATGCGGAGATACAACATAAGGTCGTTCCGTATTAGTTCCGTACTGCTTCCGTATTGGTCGGGCAGGGATACTACACCCTACCTTCCTACAGATAATCACGCCCTCGTGATTTTCACAAAATTAGTGAAGTGTTACGAACACAGCGTCAACCGGAAGATGGCAAATTATATCGGAAATGATAACGTTCAGAGTAGACAGAAGAAATGAACTGATAACAAATCATAAAGTAGAAGCACACCAGGTTCACACGATCTCACGGGGTCAAAAGGGGAAAGAACTGTCCTCCAAATAGGACCTGAAAAACCACAGCACTCTTGCTGCACAACGCTGGCACAACCCGCCAGGATCATCGCAGTTCAAAAACCGAACTGAATACACTATAACTATAAGGGGCGTTGTCACACACATTGTCCCAGGTTAGCTGGGTAAGCCGTGGCTCACCATGATCAGACGCCTACCAAACTAAACTGGATTCACACACTCGCATAAAGGAAGACTGAAGAGAACAGGGCGACTGAAGGAAGACAGGAAAGAAAATGCCATACCTGGAATCAGCGTTAGTAACCACGGCGGCGGCTGGAGCTATGGCGGAGGTCAAGCCAGGTTTTATCTTCATCTCGGTTGAGCCGGTCACTCAGAGCGGCTAGCTCGGCGTCAGACAAATGACCTCCCTCCTCGTCTTGAATCGTGGTCTTCACATTGTCGATAGCATCGCTTTGCGCGACGTAAAGAGTGATGGTCTAGCCAGGAAGAGTGTTGGTCTAGCCAGGAAGAGTGGTGACGAAAATCTGCTTCCCACCACGAAGGCGAAGTACCAAGTGAAGAGTGGGCTCCTGCGTGCCGGCGAAAATCAAACACTGCTGGTCTTGGGGAATACCCTCCTTGTCTTGGGCAGCAGCCTGCCTTTTGTCGTCCTCATCAGCTTCGCCATCACCACAGGTAGTATAGGTAGAGGGTCGCTTGGAATCGCCATCGGAGTGTCCAGTGAGTGCCGTGCGGAAAGAAGGGTGATCCACGCTAGCACCCTGACTGTGCTGCAGGCTAATAAGAAGGGCCAAGCCCAGGAAGGCAAGAAACATGATTCTCATCTTGATTCGTCGCAAGGAGCTGCAGCGGGTTGAGCCATGGGGGTCTGGGGTCGAATCACGTTGTTCTATTTAAAACTACACCGCTGCCACCAATGTAACAGGTAGCCGAGTGGTAGGCGCGGTGAAATCAACAAGAATTACTTTTATTCTACTTTCAGGTACACACCTGAGATATAATTATTAGTGAAAGAAGAAGCGGCAAAATAAATAATTTTCTCTCCGGTGCTCACCTAGAGGTTGCCTACTTCTTCTTCGAGTTAGCTTTCGTTGCTATCTAATCTAATCTTCTTAAAACAGAAAAACGCAGCTGCTTTTATGCAGCAGGCGCCGTACGCTTATATGCGGAGATACAACATAAGGTCGTTCCGTATTAGTTCCGTACTGCTTCCGTATTGGTCGGGCAGGGATACTACACATGTATGTGCATACTGGACTGCCAATGTTGCACAAAACATGACTGTATGAACTTCGAAGTAGCCTTATGTGGCAGTGCATTTTATGTGGCACTACCGTTTGTCTTACCTAATACTGACAATATCCATCAAATGACTGAGAGGAGGGCATGTGGTGTCATCCGTGTTACCCGATAAAAAGAATATTCGTACGTTCGTTCGTTAAGCCAAAGAATATTCGGCCACTGGGTTTTGACATTCGTTCGCCATTATTTTATATTATTCTATGCTTCAAAAAGAATAGAATGGTATACTGAGCTTGGGTTGGCTGTGCATTGAGCACTCTTTCGAGGACCACACCCAACTTTCCGT